AAAAAAAAAAAATACAAAACACAACGGAAAAAAATAAAAGATAAACAAAAACAAATACAACACAAAAACAAAAAACAAAAAAAAAAACTTTGCTGAAAATAGACAAGATACTTCTTTCATATACAAGATACTTGATGTTGACGATGATTTTGTGATAGATTGCAGCAATACATCAGCATTGTTGACGTTGCTACTTAAAGGCACATGCCAAATTGTATGACAGCAATTTACAATTTATTTTTTTTTTTTATTGTTGTTTAATACCGTTTTTTTTTATTTTCACAAAATGTTGCTAAATTTTCTAGGAATATCTAAAGTTTCAAAATCGCTTCGACAGCAAACTGCAACTTCATACTAAACAGACTACTAACAACAATTGCAACAAGTGCAACAAAAAAGAACAAAAATAACAACGAAATGAACAAGAACAGCTACAACAACAACAACAACAACAACCGCAACACATAAAATCAGATAAATTACATTGAAACTAACAATAAAAACAACTAAACAAACAACAACAAATAAAACACGCTTAGCAACACAAACTGCAACAACAAACCTAACCCATAACAACAATAACAACAGAAAAAGAAATTATAGAAATTGTAACAAATTATAGTGAAATTATAATAAAAAAAAATTAAAAATAATTGAAAAACTAACAACAACAACAACAACAACATTAGCCAAAATTAATTGAGGAACCAACAACAATACCAGAAAAAACGACGAGTCCTTGTTATACAAAAGTAACAGAAATAAAAAAAATGGTGACAAAGTTAGTAATAAATTTAGGAATATAAAAAACAGAAAAAAAATAGTAGGAAAAGTTGCAGCAGAGATAGCAACAAAAACTACAAAGAAAATAGCAACACAGATATCAATAAAAACAACTAGAACAGAGGCAACAAAACTAGCAACAATCTTCGTAACAAAACTAGCAACAAAACTAACAACAAAAATAGCAACAAAAGTAATAGCAAAAATAGCAACAATACTAGTAACAAAAAAATGATGATAGAAGAAGTAAGGGTGATAGACACATGCTAGGGATCTTGACTAAAGTCTGATCTAAAAATATCCTTTAGCTTGTTAGCTTGGTAGCTCTGCTGGCTAGCTCTATCTCAGGAATAGAGCTTCAAATGTCTACTACGAAATCCACTTGAGATTTGAATCTATCTGATTTCAATTGGGATCAATAGATATATACGTGGCTTACTTCAAGCACTTCTTAAAGTCGTTAAAATATCTACTACGAAATCCACTTGAGATTTGAATCTATCTGATTTCACTTGGGATCAATAGATATATGCGTGGCTTACTTCAAGCAATCCTTAAAGTCTTTAAAATGTCTACTAAGAAATTCACTTCAGATTTGAATCTATCTGATTTCACTTGGGATCAAAAGATATATACGTGGCTTACTTCAAGCAATCCTTAAAGTCTTTAAAATTTCTACTACGAAATCCACTTGAGATTTGAATCTATCTGATTTCACTTGGGATCAAAAGATATATACGTGGCTTACTTCAAGCAATCCTTAAAGTCTTTAAAATTTCTACTACGAAATCCACTTGAGATTTGAATCTATCTGATATCACTTGGGAGCAATAGATATATACGTGACTTACGACCAGCCAAATCAACCTAATTAGGTTGGTAGGATAGTATACCAATTTATTTATAAATTTTTAAGTAGGAAGTCAATATTAATTGTGAAGGGGTTTATTTCCATAAACTTCAATTATACATACAGTCAATGTTCAGCTTACTTCAAAGACGTACATTAGACACATAGATTAGATACGTTTTACAATTATTACAACTGTTAGCTAACAGCATCAAGAAAATAAAAGAAATAATATTTCCTAGGTGAAAGAAACACCTAGGAGGGTGTTTCATGGATCATAAGGATTCAAGACTGGGGAAGATAGAATCCATACTGTCTTTCATTAGGAATTCGGACTTGGAGAAATACTCTAACCCGACAAAGGGGCACAATAGATCTTTCAGGTCGCAGTGCACGATCCCTTACTCAATAATAATAATAATAATATAAAAATATGAAAAATAAATCATATGAAAAATAAATATATGCCTTTAACAGTAATTATAAAAGAATAATAATAACTGGAATAATAAAAATATGCTTGATATCTAGAATGTTTAAAATTAATAAATGCAATGACAAAAAGTGCCATCTAATAGCACCAAAAAAGAAGAAAGTAGAGTTCCATAAAAAATTTCTATAGAAAATCTTAGTACAAAAATTTTTCTTGATAACGAAAAACAACAGAAAGAGTAACCAAAACCACAAAGCAACTTCCACAAAAACTAGAATAACGAAAACTACAATAACAAAAACTTCAATAACAAAAACTACAATAACAAAAACTGCAATAAAAACAAGAACAACCTTTACCTTAGATTAAAACGTTTAGTGTTGTAAGTTAACGTGGTTGGAGCATAGCGAAATGCACTTCAAATATTGATTTTTTTTATTGTTTACGGTAGCAAATATTTAAGTACGTGAAACTAACCATTTCGTTCCAGTAAATAAGCAAATTAAACAACAACAACTACAATGAAAACAACAACAACTACTAAGGCATACTGGCAACTTTAACGATTCTTACGTTTAGTTTTTCTCAAAGCACCAAGTACCTAGAAACTTATTACACTGACGAATAGATGCTGAAATATTGATAAGTTAGCACATTTAAATAAAATACTTAATATAATGTATGAAAATCTCTTAAAATCGCGATCAGTGGGAGGAAAAATCCGTGGATATTCGATACACTTTAAAAGAAGATTTAAACATGAATCCTAGAGATCTTGTAGAACTAACTACCATCGGACTACATAGCTGCGATTTATATACCCAGAACATCATTAGTTTGGATTGTGGAGAAAGGTTTGACGTAACGTTCTTTACTAAGCAGATTGAAGAAACTTCTACTCAGAAGTTCTTAAGACGAGGAATAATACAAGTACTAACACGTATATGAACACTAAATAATGCTGACCGAAGCTCTCTATGAGCTATGTAACTAAATGATTAGATTATTATCTGTCAGACCCACCTTATAAATTTGAATTTTAGTAAGGTTACCACAACAACATGACAAACATTCCCCCACAATCCTACATATATATAAAGAAATCAAAAAGTTCTTGATTATTTCATTCTTGACTATTTCAAAGTTAATAAATCCTTTGCTATTAATATAAATACACTTAAATGAGCTTATTATGAATTCCCAGTTAATATTTTAGATGTATTTCAATTTTTAGTTAATGTCGCCTCCAAATTTTATATATTCTTAAAACATATCTAAAATAACTACTAAAAAATATGCCACATATAATTTGGATTATATGACGTTCTCCATTTAGCGTTCTCTTTTCCGTCACTAATGTTGGTACTAAAATTATATACTTAGGCTTTGGTACTGGAAGAGGTGATACTCTCTTCGACTAATCCAAATTCCTTCAGCACTTCCATAAGAAGCATTATATCAACAGGTTTTTTTTGTGTTACTTCTTTTATTCTTTGCCATGCCAACAAATCGATGGTGCTCAGTATTTCGGTTAAATTATTTTTTTTCTGCCGTTTCAGCTCAGCAATTTCTTCTACAAGTTCATTAACATGTTCTCTTAATGTCAAAATTTCTCTCTCAAGATCTTGTATGTTTTGAGCAAATATCTCTCTACTTTCAGTTGAAGCAATATCATCGTCTAAGACCTCAATTGCGACTTTAGTATTGGTTGCTTCAATCTATACCAGAAACATTTTTTTTTATTATTAAAATGAAAACCTATATTGTGTTTACTTACTTCATTGCTTGCGGGTTCTTCAACTGGAGACGACATTTGACAGAATTTTGCAGTGAGCCAAAATAGTAGTATAAAAGCCAAAATGTTTTTAAATTAAATTAAAAAATATATACGAAATAATATTGACTGAACTAGGTTCTATGTAACAATAAAATCATGGCCGACTTTAACTTGCTTAATAATACGTTTCATTAGCATTCATAGAAGTTATCATTTTTTTTAATAATGATATTGAATTTGTAGAATTCACAGTGGTCTTAGAAAATCCACGCTGTGGATTTTTAAAATATCAACTTAAGACTGATTGATAGCTCAATAACGAATATCTATACCAGGGCCACTCACCCTCCATAGATTCTGTAGTCATGCAATTTTGTATGCGAAACAAGATATGGAATCTTGACAGACTTTAACTGGTACTTTTTGAAAGCCAACGTTCTAACATATATAAATGTATCCAAAAATTGAGATTATTGAACTTTTCGACGTGATTTATTTGGGACTTACTTAAAATAATATCATTCTTATTAGAGACTAATATTTACTTCATTGCAACTAGTGTAAATTTAGTTTATGACAGTTCGACTTTGAAACGACTCAACACATTGTTGTGATTTATTCTGGACCTACTTAAAATAATAGCCGACTTTTACAGCGCATTCCACGCAAAATTCGGTTGTTGTTTGATGGTATTCGTGTAAGGATGACAGTGTGGGAATCAATGAGTACTAATATGTATACTTAGAGTATATCCATAATAAGCAATTATAATGACGCTTAAGTAATTTCTTATACTTCTACTCATACGCACTCATACTCAACAAACAGGTGACCTCTAGGTGAAGTTCAGAAGGCGCGTGCTGACAGTTGTCAGCACTTCCACAGCACCCATTGCTCCCATGGCGAGTTTCTAACCTTTGTTATCATTGTTAAACCATTTGATTTTACAGTTGAAGTTGCAGAGATCCGATAGGTTTGCTTTCGTTATCTCTTCCAAGCCAGTGAAAAAACGATCCCCAAAACATTGAAGTCACCTTGTCTGCAACCCTGGATAGAGACACAGATAGTGGTTAATAGATTCTACCTCCTCTTCATCTTGGCAACTCCTGCATAATCCACTTGTTAACAGGTGATTTATAAGTATTTGTGTTAATGAGTGCCAAGAGTGTCCCAAGAGTGTAAAGAATTTCTTAAGTAGTATAGAATATAAGCAGATGTACTCATAAATACTCATCATATACTCGAGTAGTATAAATCAATGAGTATACTCTGGAGGTAATGATTGGCAATTTGATTAGTTTTGGCATTCTCACAAATGGTTCGAGTGTTGGGTACTCTTTGGTGTTCTTTATGAGCGCAAGGAATATGCGTTATCGCTGTGCAACATCCATAAGTTGTTTGCCCAAAAATTTGAAGAGAATGTTTATAATAGATGTGTCAATCTATATGTCAATTCCCTAAATTCAAACTGAGGATGATTAAAGAGAGAGATCAGGTAGTGGTATTCCCTAATACTTTTGGATGAAAGTTTAATATATGTATCTGAAGTTTATAGCTATTACTTTTAATATTATTAATTGCTCTTGTAGTTCATAAGAGCAGAGAGTTTTTTTCAAACGGGCTTTTGCAATTAAAATAATAATATCTGTAAAAAGATACTTTTTTTTACTTGATTTGAAGTTAAAAGTAGACACTTTTAAGTGGCCCAACTAGTAAATTATTCAATAGAATTGCAACGGAAGTGCTACTTGATTCAAGCCATAATGCAATAATTTACTTTACCGTTGGCTGTCCTGGTACTTCGGAGCCACGTAGTGAATTACTTTAAACCATTTTTGATTTAGTGTAAAACGAAGAGTTTCTTTTTTTTTATCTGACCGTCTGTCGCTGATTGTGTGTTTGCATGTTTGTCTTTCAAACTGTCCAACCGGGTGTACTAACTGCCTGCTACGTAGTAATGAAGATTGGCAGGTGAATAATAAAAGCTGTTGTACTTTGTAATTCCGAGCGTTGTAAGCTGTTTTTGTTACTGAAAATGTATCTTATATCTATGCAACTGATTGAGTGATTGATGGCAAAATGTTTTGCCGTTTCGAAAAATGTGGAGTAAAGAGTAAAATGGACTATTATATAATAAAATCTATAGCATCTATAATTTACTATCGCCACAATGGCAACACATAGCAACACAAGTAGCGGTTTAAATAATTTAACTCAGCTAAGAATTGCCATAATAATTGGTATCTCGAGTATGCAATTTACGCTTAAGGATATAAAAACATAAATACTTAAATTATTAGCCACATTAAAGGAAAACTGTTAGGCACAAACTACTTTCAGTACCACTGACAGCAGCTTGCCATTTACCTCAGTATCTGCGTACCACCGAACCGAACACCTGAACAACCGAACGGGAGTGCAAGAGGCAACTGCGGAGGAAAGTATCTGCAAGTTTAATGTGCCAAAACATTAAAATTTAATGCCAGTACTGTAAGCTGTTGTATCTATTGGATAAATAACTTCAACATTATGATAACGATATTAAACATGTTTACTGTTAACATTTTTCAATTATAATCAAAACAGAAATATTTCGAATATTAGAGATATTTTACTTTTTTTAATGGCTCAAGATTTGCATTATGTTTAAACTTCAACTAAAGGTGAATTAAATTCTTTTGGTTCTCAAATTCATATCTGCAGCCATTGGATTTGTTTATTGCTCTAAAGTGGTAATATGAATGCAGTTATGAATTGCCACTCTTACAATATGTGTGAATGTTAGTTCTAAGATAATTAGATCACAGTTTTAACTATCTTTACTATTCAAATAAGGAATAAATTGAAGTTTCGTTGATTAGCACTTAAAATGCCTGCTTATTGTTTATAGTGTAAATTGCTATAATTAAATAGCGATATTAGGTTTACATATAAAATAATTGTAATTTGTAAGATTTTGTAAATGATTTGAAATATGTTTGCTAATATATTCAATTATAGCACTGCAGCAAGTGT